AATTCTCTGAAGACGAGCAAACACCTCTTCTAGAGAGGAAAGAGCTGACCCACCTAGTATTTGTGCTCTCACTGGTTCATATTCAGGTTTCAGCCCTACTAAAAATCTGGTTACATCTATATGGAGGTGTTTCCATTTGCTGATCTCCGAGAATGAGGATTGTTTCCATTTGCTGATCTCTTGTTCCGTTGCTACAGCTATATGGAGGTGTAGCCTTTGTTTATTTGGAGGTAGGTGGTCTACGCCTTCTGATTTAAGCTTGTTATTCAACCCATCTGTCTTTGTTTGGCACACAAGAAGAGGTAAGGTTATGTGGAAATGTGTCAGGGCAGCCACTCTATGGACTCTTCGGGAGGAAAGGAATGCAAGAATTTTCTTAGAGAAGGAAAGAGGGTTGGATGAAATGAAGGATTGTATCCTAACAAGAACAATCCATTGGCTGAAAACTGTGGATATCTTTGATGACTTCTCCTTTGATGACTTGTGGAGGAATTGGCTAGTAATAGCTAACACTTCAACAAAGAATGATAGAATTCTGTCAGAATGGGTTCCGCCTTTGGAAGGTGTCATCAAGCTGAACTTTGATGGAAGCAGCCAAGGCAACCCCGGGTCTTCAGGTATAGGGGGTATCCTGAGAAATAAGGACAGCAACATAATTTCCCTATTCTCAGGACCAGTGGGAGTGGGGGATTCCACAAGGGCAGAAATCCTTGCTGCAGTACAAGGAATTCAGATCGCCAACCAGCTTGGGGTGGAGCATCTCGTAGTTGAAGGGGACTCTCAAGTGGTAACAAGGTGGCTCCTAAACTTCGATATCACCATTTGGGGCTACAAAGATCTCATCAAAAAAATAAAGTGGTTAACCAGCAATACGAGAGTTGAGGTAAAATAGGTTAGTAGGTCTGCTGCTAATTCTTTGGCTGATGCTTTAGCCAAACAGGGGGTTTCTAGGGAAGATCTTTTTTGTGCTTCTTTGTAAGTTGTTATTAATTTGGAAATCTSTACTTAACTAGCCCGGAGAGGTTGCAACTTGTGCCTTTCCTTGGGGACTTTGTACTATTGTCTATTTCTGATTAATAAAATTATTTCAATTATCAAAAAAAAATTCTGGTTACATCGAGTTGCCCTCTCTGTTGTTGTTGAATCCTAACATCGGAAATGAGGAGATAGTACACATTCAACTCATTGCAAAGATTCCTCATGCTAGCATAGTATTCGGCAAAACTTTGATTACCCTGTTGCAAATTAAAGTACTCTTGATAAAGCTGATACACTCTAGTAGTATTGTCTTGTCCAGAGTACAGTTTCTTGGCATGGTCCCAGATCTCCTTGGTCGTATCTAAGAACATAAAATTCACACTAATCTTGGGTTCCATACTATTCCCAAACACTATATTCCTAAGAATCAACCTTTTTCTTAGCCCTAAGAAAGACTTCTACAGGTTTCTCCCAAGGCACATAATTCTCACCATTCAATTTGATAGAAGTCATCTGAACATTCAGGTAATCGGGGAGAACCATAATACTAGACCTGTGTTCACTACTGTCTCCCATATCTGAATTTTTTTTCTTCACTCACCTGTATGTCACATGCCTAATTCACTTCTCACCACACTGCACACTAGTAACAGTTATTTTCCTTTTTCACTCACACACAGCACTCTAGTGACAGGTTATTGCTGAAGGCACCTACTGTCATAGTTTTCAGCAATAACAGTCACTAGTATTCTTCACTCTCAGCACCACAATACTACTTGAATACACACCACAAACATAGAAACTCACCAACCACTCAGTTCAAACTGAAACACCCATACAGCCCACCTATTTGATCAACAAAAAAGTCAACCTGTACTTGACTGTCCACTGCACCACCTGAAACAGCCCTCTTTGAACCATCAATTAGAGGACTTCCTACAAACCACCACAAACAACCACTAAACCACTAACCGGAGGCATGAAAGCCTCCAAAAGGGAAGGGTGGTTACTCCTTTTCAGCCCTTTTTCTTATCTCCAATAGGTGATGAAGAAATCTGGAAAACCCTAGGCTGAATGGCGATGGAAAAGAATTCTAGGCAGATCTGAATTTGCCACAGGTGCTCTGATACCATGATAAAACTCAGATCTGAACCAGAATTAGTTTGTTAATAATAGAGAAAAAAGATAGAAGAGAGAAGAGGGAAGAAGAGAAGAGAAGAAAAGAGAAGATGGAGAAAAGGTCAGTTCGAACTAGAGAGAAAAATCACTCTCTAGTCGGCCAGATTTATATTTATAGTTTTCTATAATAAACAGAATGACTGTTATGCCCCTACTTAAGTATGGGACACATCACTCAACTTAAACATTACACCTCACACCAAACATAAATGAAAAGACCAAACTGTCCATATACAGTCAACACTAACAGTTTGCTCTCTCTCGCTCTCTATAATTACAAAAATGAGTTGATCTCTACATTTTTGGTACCTTCCAATTCTAGAACTGGGTATGAGTGGGATTTGGGTCTAAGAAGAGCCTCCAAGAATACAGTGTTAAATAGTATATCACTGTTACTTGATGGGATTTTCTTGGATCCTACTAAATTTAATGGCCGGGTCTAGACCCCTTCACCCTTTGGTGTATTCTCCTGTGCCTCCTCCTTCAAAACCTTAACTTTACCTAATGTTAGTGGTGGGCAACCTTTCCCTATAAAAGATGTCTACAGCAAGCCCATCCACCCTAAAGTTGGGAAATCTTCCTGGAAAGAATCAATCATGTAATTTGCTTCAAAAAAAGAGACCTAAAAGTTGTTTACCCCCTAACTGGTGTGTTCTTTATAAAACTAATCGTGAGAATTGCTATCACTTATTAATCTCCTGCTCTTTCATTAAAGATATTTGGAAATGGTTTCTCTCTTTGTTTGGATGTAATTGATCCCCCCTCCCGGCCGAATGTGCAAAGCTTGTTTACCTCTATAACTTTCAATTGGCTAAAGAAGAGGGGAAGGATCATGTGTAGATGTGTGAGGGCTGCTATAGTTTGAACCATATGGGAAGAAAGGAACTCAAGATTATTTTTCAGATAATGACAGAGGCTGAGAAGTGGTCATAAAAGTGATTTTCAAAAAAGTGGTACACTAGATCAAGTCCATGGAACTTTTTAAAGATTTTCCAGTGGAAGTTTTCTTAAGAAGATGGAAGGAAGCTGCTTCTTCAGTCTCGGTCAAGGATTCCTTAATTCCCATTTGCCCCCCCCCCCCCCTCCAACTAGTGGGCTTGTTAAGCTGAATTTTGACGGGATCAGTGCTGGAAATCCAGGGCCATCAGGAATTGGGGGTGTTTTTAAGGATAAAGAAGGAAATATAATTGCTCTCTTTTCAGTTCCAATTGAGGAGGGAGATTCCCTACAGGCTGAGATATTGGCAGCTTTGTAAGGGGTAAAAAGGGCAAAGGATATGAACATTAGAAAGCTGTCTAATAGAGGGAGATTCTAAGTTAGCGGTGCACTGGCTAAAGGAAGAGAGGAGTGGTTTTTGGAATTATAGATATGAAAGGAAAAAGTTCAAGTTAACACAAGACATTGAAGTAAAGGTGCTTTTGGTCAAAAGAATTTCTAATTTCTTTGCTGCTGATCTAGCAAGGAAAGGGGTAAATAGGGCCTCTATGATTTGGGCTCAATTGTAACATCTTTTTACCTTGTTTTGATAGTGATTGAACTTCTGTAGGAGAGTTAAGAGAGCTTATCTCTCACTGTTCTTGTACTTGGCTTTGTTTTTTAATAAAGTGTATTCCTTATTGATAAACAAAAAAAAAATCTTGAGTTATTGGATGAGACAGGTGTGCTAAAATGCAAACCATTATCTGCTTCTACAGATCCAAATATCAAGATAGCTTCAAATCAAGGGGAGTTGTACACTGATCCACAATAGTGCAAAAGACATAGTTGAAAAGCTAAACTACTTAACAATCACATGTCCTGATGTATCTTTGTAGCTAATGTTATTAGGACTCACCTAGAGTACCACATCTAGATGCAATAGTCAAGATACTACGATACCTGAAAGGATCCCTGGGCTTGGGAGTGATGCATAAGGACCATTGACACCTCTCAATCAGAGTTTTACAAATGTTGACTATGCCAGTTTACCTACTAGGTATTTTCTTCTGGAAATTTGGTTTCATGGAAAAATAAGAAGCAAAGTGTGATTGCCAAATTAAGTGTTGAAGTTGAATATTGCACTGAGTCACACTAGAAAAGGGTTTAGGTTGCTTAAGTGCCTGCTGATAAAGATGGGAATCAAAGCAACATTCCCAATGTATCTTCACTGTGATAACCAGGTTGTATAGCAGCAAATTCAGTGTTCATGAGAGGACAAAACATATTAAGGTGGATTATCACTTTATTCATGAGAAGGTTAAGAGTGGTGATGTGGAAACTCCATTTGTTAGATTTTAAGACCAACTTGCAGATTTATCTATTAAAGCATTGCATCAACCTCAGACCGACTTCATCAACAAACTGGGTTTAGATAGCATAAACACTCCAGCTTGAGGGGAAGTGTTGATAATATTAGTGTTTATGTTTGGTATATTACGTTCTTTTTTTTTTTGTCTAAGGGTATATCTGTCCTATATATTTGCAACTTAAATGGGGTTAGTTCAGTAATTCTGGTTTATGTTAAGCATATATATAGCAGTCTAACAAACTGGGAAATTTGATTTTTCTCCTTAATCAGCAGGTCTTCTCTCAAAAAACACCTGTTCTCCTTTTCCCCCTTTGGTCCTCTACGTCTCAACACCAAGTACAGAACTTGTACAACAGTCATCTCACAGTTTTATTTTCCATGAGATCTCGTGTGTGGAACCAAAAAAAAAAAATTGATTGTTCCTATGGTTACTTCACCATCTATGTGTCATCTATATGGTAGTAGCCTACCAAGATTTCCATCTTGAAAAGGTTATCCCTAGTTTTCTCTGAAAAGAAAATAAAGATACTGATCTGCAATTTGACAGTCAACTCACCAGATATACAACATCAAATGCTTCTTGATAGTTTCCAATAGACTTCTCAATGTTATCATTCCTGCATCAGAAATCATCTTAAACACTTACTCTTTTTTAGTAAATGGTATGAAAGTTACGCAAAAAGCACAGGAAAAACAAATTTATTAAGGGAACAGCTATCTTAAATATACTGATAAAAAAGCAGCTATCTTAAATATCCATCATATGTTTACCAAAAATAATATCCAGCATATGATGGGAAAAAATCAGGGGAAAAAGCAGAGAGAAGATTTATGTTCCTATTGGCAAAAACAAAAGTTCATCTTTCACTTAACGTTTAGATCGTTACAATCAGAACCAAAACATCAGCATCAGCTCCTTTAGAATCATAATGGGTTTTTGAGTTTCTCAGTAATCAATATACAAATAGAGGATTTATTTGGTTCCTGCCCAACACGGACACTTCTTCAAGGTATGTATCCTGAGAGAGAGAGAGAGAGAGAGAGAGAGAGAGAGAGAGAATTCAATCGAGCATTCAAGTATCCATTAGCGTGTCTTCTTATTTATACATGTTTACTTTATGTGAATAACAATCATAATAACTCAAGAATCAACTTGCAATATCAAGATTAATCGAGCATTCAAGGTATGTATCCATTACTGTGTCCTCTTATTTATACATGTTTACTGTATGTGAATAACAGTCATAATAACTCAAGAATCAACTTGCAATATCAAGATTCCCACTTGCATCTATTAGTTATTATCTTGTTGAATTTGTTGTACAGCTGGTTTTGTACCACGTCCCTCTTTCTTATGTAAACTTTCTGAACAATAGGCCTACTGATGACCTTGTCCTGCTCTTGGTTCCTAACAGTTCCCCCCAAGAAGCATCCCTATCCTCAAGGGTGAGATCAGGAAATTGTTGGTGTAAGGAAGAATAGGCTTCCCATGTAGCATCCTCATAAGGCACACCCTGCTATTCAACCAAAGCTTCACGAACTAATTGTTGCCCCTTCTAGATCCATCTGTAGCCCTGCACATGCTGAGGTTGCAGCAGTGCATAGCCATACTCACCAAGATCAGATAAGACTTGTGATGTGGAAACTGTAGGCCCAACATGGCCTTTAAACTTTGAAGGTGGCAATGTTGGGGAAGACCCAGGTGGTAAGCAACTGACCCCACATTCAATGATAGGGAAAAGTCCAAAGAATCTGGGAGAGAGCTTGTGCCAAGCTTTTTGAGCCAATGTGGCCTGTCAGTATGGAATAAGTTTGAGATAAACTAAATCCCCAACCTGGTATTCAACCTGACAGAAGAAATATAAACCAGCAATAATCCTGAATTTTGAGAAGAAGAATAAAAGAAGAAGAATGAAGAAGAAAGAAGAAGAAAAGAGAGCTTGGTTGTATCTCTCCCCGGTCCCTTAATCATCTTTTATTTGGATTAATTCTACTTTAGAGTATAATTATAAGAATACCCATGGTAGGGTGGCTGAACTAATGACAGTAAATAAACAATGAAAACAAGGCCCACAACTAACGCCAATTAGCTAATAAACAAAGAAACTAATGGACCCATTGAGAAAATAAAACATTAAGGCCCATTTGGCCCACCATCTCTACACTGACGATGGCAGCGGATCATACTAGGCCTTCATCTGTTCCTAGGACTACATAGATTGGCCTTGAGTTGTTTGAGAATGTTGTCTCTTGCTGTCAAGTGGTTGTCAAGAGCAGCAATTGCTGTAGAGCCCTTCTCATAGAGAAGTATTGGAGGAAGGTCTTGGCCATAAAGCACCTCAAAGATGTTTAAAAGCATCTATTAATAACCTCCATTTAGCCATCCATTTGAGGATGCTAACTGGTAGAAGTATTGAGTATAGACCCTTGAAGGTTGAAACATTCATGCCAAAATTTGCTCAAGAAGGTAGGGTTACAGTCTGAAAGGATGGCCTAGGTGTCCTATAGAGGTGAGCGGTTTCTTTTGTAAATGCAACTGCTACTGAGGCCACACTATAGGGATGTGCCAAGGGTATAAAATGGGCATGTTTAGATAAGCAATCCACAACAACTACAATGATAGAGAAGCCCTTTGATTTGGGTAATCGCACAATGAAATCAAGTGAAATCTCATCCTAAACTAATTCTGATATTTTCAGGGGCTGTAGAATCACAGCAGGATGTTGGGCCTCATATTTTTAGAACTAACAGACAAGGCAAGAAGCAACAAAGCCCTCAATGATGCATTTCATCCCTACCCAAAAATAATGAGAAGCAATTTGTCGGTATGTCCACAGAATACCTGAATGCCCGGCCTCTGGGGAGCTGTGATATAATTTTAACAGTTGGGATAGGTGCACTGAAGTAGAAGAGAGGACCAGATGTCCCTTGAAGAAAAGAGTGGAGTCTTTTACTGAATACTCAGGAACTAGTGTTGGGTCTTGGGCCCATTTTGTGCATATAAGCTGCAGACCAGAGTCCTCTTTTGCTTCTTTCTTAAGAAGGTCCAACAAGGGGTATTGATGTTGCAAAACTGAGAGAGATGTGAGCTCATGCATCTGTGATAAAGCACCAGCTACTCGATTAGAAGCTCCAGATTTGTATTCAATTATAAAATCAAACCCCATAAGCTTGTAGGCCCATTTTAAGTTGTGCATTTGTGTGGACTTGTTCAAGCAGATGTTTTAGACATTGTTGATTTGTATTCAATTATATAATCGAACCCCAGAGTGCTTGGCCATTGAGTGTCTTGCTGAGATAGGCTACTGCCTGACCCTCTTGCATAAGAACAGTGCCCTGCCCACCACCAAAGGATCATATTCAAGTATAAATGTTTTGTTGAAATCAGGTAAGGCAAGTGTGGGCAGCCTGGAGAGAGTTTGCTATTAGATAGTGTATGCCCTTAGCTCCAACTATTTTATTGTACATATATTTGTTATGAATAAAAGAACATTTCTTTCATGTGTCATGGGGTTTGTTCTGCTAAATCACCCCCCAGTTCATATTAGTATTATGTATGAGGCCACACAGTTGTTATAATATGGACTTAAATCATCACAACCAGGGGATAGACTTGGGGAGTCAATCCTAACAAGGTTGCCATTCTCACACTGCCCAAGGTAATGAGTGTTTACAAGAAACATTGAAATGGACCAAACCTAATGTGTTCCTAGACTTTGTGACAAGTGGAGCAATTGGGTGCTACTTTTAATCCCCAGACTTGATATTGATATCAAATCGAGTATCAAACTTGTCTATCATTGATATGCCAACTAGTGAGATCCTTTTGGGATTAAATACCTAGGTATATTGGGGTATTCAAGGATGGTATGTCAATTGATGATCAATGTGATAGGATATGCTACTATGTTAAGACATAGAGAATACTTTATACAATATCCTCCCTAGATTCCAGAATCTGTCAGCAGTAGGATTATCTGAATCCTCCATAAAAGATCCATTGGTGTCGGATGTTGGACGTCATGGCATAAAGACAAAGAGGGAAAAAGTTCTTCCCCTAATATGGTGTCAAGTATTGTTAGTAAAGAGATTAATTGCAAATGGTAAATTGGGCTGTATTGACTTGATTATCACATAATGAGTTGAACCAATGGACTTGGATCTTTAGGATGGTAAGGTACCAAGTGTTAAGTGCTTAGACACTTAATGGGGCTAAGTTACTTGAGCCCATAACAGGTATGGCCGAATTAGCCTATTAGGTTAATTGACATTAAGTGGCCAACCCCACCAGCTCATGTATTAAGAGCATATGACTTGCCAGTTCTCTCATTAAGTTGTAGGTCCCATGCCATACAAGCTAAGATCTCCCAATATTAAAGTAATTTGAAAAAATTAATAGTTTGCTTAAAGTTGGTTACAAGTCTTTCTATTAAGTCCTACTCAAACTATGAATTACAAAGTCTATGTTTGACTAGGAAACCTAAACTAGAAAGGTTCTAGTATTTGGACTGAATTAGGAGAACAAGACTCTCTCCAATTCTCTCTTAATAAAAGTTGGGAAACCTAGATGGATAAGGAGAGGACTCTTCCAGATCTCCCTTGTCTATAAATAGAGCTCAAAACATAGGGATCACACCATGCTTGTTCTCCCTACACATTGCTGAATCCGGCCTACCCACTGTGAGAGACTAAACTAGGTTTTTGCAACCCCATTTGACCAGACTTTAATAACAATCATTAGAGAGTGATTCCAGAAGAAATTAGAGTGAGAAAATCACTCCAACTTGTGACCAACAGATCACCATTCTTTCTGGAATTTCAGGAAATGACTGAAAACACAAGACTGCACCATTTTCAGTTTGTTGCAGATATTCTTGGGACAATCTGAGCTTGGATGTGAACTACCACTTTGATCCCTGCACTTGTGGATATCAATATTAGGGTACTATACTCATTCTTGATCCAAAGATTCGACCTTTCTTGGTTCAATAATCCCAAATGATCCAAGGAGAAAAACCAGTTTTCTCATCTTGTGCGATTCCAGCATTAGACTTTCTAGAAAATTTTAAATTTCGTCCACTCTTTTTGCTGGAAATTTTGCACATGATGATCATAGGGGCTCAATTCTTGGTGGGTTTTTGAGCAGTGGGCCAGCCTGGGGTCGTGTAACCCTTTGGACTCAATTGAGCTTCTCAGTTTGTTCCTCACAAGTCCTATGGTCACCGTTACATATGAAGGTTGCACAACCTTCACCTCCGCCTTGATCTCCTCACACAAGCCACCAATAAAGCAACCAAGCAATGCCTTCTTCATCCTACCTTGCACTCTTGTCACCAGTTTCTTGAACTCCTATTGATATTCGCTAACGGTTCCTATCTGACAGATCTTAGACAGAGATTCATGGTGGCCTTCAAAACCCGTCAGTTCAAATAGAATAGGCAGGGCTTTGGTGAAATCTGCCTACAACACCTGAGGATGAGTGCATCAGGACCATTGCAAATACAGTATGGCTTCACCTTCTAGGTGGAATGAAGCGATCAAGACCCTTTGGTTGTTGGGAGTCTTATGGAACTCAAAATATTGCTCTACCTTGAAAATCCAAGGCATTGGTCATTAT